AAAATGAGTTTAAAAAGTTCAGAAAGAATAAAAAGTATTAGAAAATTAGAAAAAATTTAAAAAAATTTTTTTAAATAAAGTTTTGAAAATCTGCCAAATTATTTTTATCAATTAAATTTTTACTTTTTTTAATGCTGTATACAAGTAATGATTTTTATACTAATCCAATCTGTTATATAATTTTTTTATTAGGCCTATTTTTAAATATAGTATCATTTTGTAATCTAAATATTAAAAAATTTGCATGTAATAAAAAAAAGTTTATCTAATAGCAATATTAACTTTGCCAAATTATCTCTGTCTACCTTATAATATCATTATAATTTAGAAAATTGATAATAATAAAAGTAAGAAGTAAGTGTTTCAAAAAAATATAAACATTATAAATTAGCTTCAGAATAAAGCTTTCAGATACTATATATAAGCTATACAAATTAATTATATACACACATATGATTTATCTTTCAAAAATAAAAATATCACTATTTTATACTATTTATAGAATACTAATTAGCAATACATCTACAGTAGAATCAGCTAATAAAGCACAAGTAAATATATATATTAAATTAGTCTTAGACATGAATAATCCTGATATTATATTTGACTTGCATGAATATAATAATAGAAAACTTGAAAAATACAATAAATTTTGGAACATTGCAAGCTATTTTCTTAAAGTTAAGACTGCTAAATTAGTTATAACTATTAATGAATAGTATTATAATGCAATTATGCATCTAACTACAACTATCTTTATAAATGATTTACTGCTTCAGATAAAAAATAAATGTATATATAATATATTAGTTCTAAATATACAATAGTTACAATTATAATTTTGGCTCAAAACTCTAATTAATTTTACTAGCTTGCAATATGTAAGCCATTTACCTCTTAAATTTATAATACAAATATGACAACTTTGTGCTTATTATTTAGATGCACATTATGCATTAGCACTTTTTCAATATAAAAAGAAATTTGTAATAAAATTTCATAATATTACAATATTTGTATTTATGAATGACAAGCACAATACAAAATAGAAAAGCCAAGATTTTTTGTTGTAGCTATAAAAAGAGAAAAACAAATTAGTATTAGTAAAGATCAAATATTTATGATCAAAGATTATAATTATATTAAAACTAAAATCATGCCAAATGTTTTTCTGATATGCATTATTCCAGAATTTATTAATAGAAACTTTTATACAGATCATGTGTATATAGGTCTAAAAGATCCTATTTTTTAACCTTTATTACTATTATAACATGCAATCAAGTTGTATAATATTTTACTTAATGAAGATATTAGCAATAAATTTATATTATGTCTTTATACTAATAGTGGTTCTAACTATTATTATATATTTGTACAAGTACAAATTTTATATATTTGCTTTTTTCTAACATTAGATCTTGATTATTTTATTATCATAAAAACACCATTGTAGCACTTATAGAAAAATTCTGTTGAACATATAATATTTATATTTAATCTTGAATTACAATATATTAGTTTAATGTATAGTAAAATGAATAATAAATAGAAGCATTAATTAGCAAAGTAGATATAATAAATAATATTTATAACATTATAAAGAACAATCTTATTTTAAAAACTGTATTGATTAAGAATATTTAACAATTAATTAATTTTATATATAATGTATTTGAGTATCAATTCTAAAAGAAACATTATTTTAAACTTTTGATATAATAATAAAAGAAGAAATTGAATGATTTAAAAAACAATACAATTAATCAATGATACAATATCTCTAAATTAACACATAGCAAAACATATAAAGAATAAAGTAAGTATCTTGTTAGATGCTATATTAAATTAGAGCAAAATGAGTTAAAACTCTCTAAATGCATTCTATAGTAATTAAATTTCTTATAACATGTATTTAAAAGACTATTGCATAGAGGTTAAGTATATGTTTTGGCCAGAATTTAAAAATGTATTTAAAGAGATTATGTATTTAATGAGATAAATTTAAGAATATTTTATTATACTAAGCTTTTTTTTGAAAAGACATAATTAATGAAATTCATAAAGCACTACTATGTAGCACATTATTATTTTTTTATAATAAAAAAATAAAAAAGATATGACTGCATAATATACAGACTGTTTTGTTGTTTCTAAAAAAAATTCGAACAACTTTACTATTTTTTTAACCTAGTACTTGGTGAAGATTGCTATTATAAACTATTTGATAAACTGTATGAAACAGTTACAAATAAAGAATATAGACCCTTGTTTAAAGAAGCTAATTTGTAAAAATTTAGACTAACTAAGACTATTAGTCCAAAAGCACATCATATTATACTGTTTTACCTTTCTGCAATTCAAGCAAAAAATATTAGTATTATAATTACTTATATTGAATATAATAAATCATGACTTCTATTTAATACTAAAAAACTTCTAAAAAATAAATAATAAACATTACAAAATTTTCTTAATATAATTTTATATATTTGTAAAATATCTTTTAATAACATTTATAATTTAGCAAATACTATATTAAAACAATTAGTAAATAAAATAAATAAAAATATAACTATTGAAGACATTAATAATAAAAAAAAAGATGATGAATTTACAAAACAGATTTATTTTTCTAAGATATGTATATGTTGAATAATAATACCATACAGCACTGTATATAGTATCCTAGATATTTTTTAAGAAAACCAGTCTAGAATGAATAATATCTCTCAGATATTGGAGATAGAAGAATAATACAAATAACTATTACTACATAATATATATCTTTTTATTAGACATATCAAAGTCAATAAAAAGATTACATTATAATTATGAAAATTAGTTTATTGATATGCCAATGATGTTCAGTAATGCATAAGTCAAAGATCAAAAAAAAAATTAGTTTATAAATTACTTGTCAAGAAAAGGAGAAATACTACTCAAATAAGATACTATATGTAACATTGTGTGGTAGTAATTAATTAAATTAATAATGAATTTATTAAAAAAAAATAAACCAAAAAATAGAATAATGATTATAAATCTAATGATGAACTTGAAACTATGTGTAATAATAATTATAATCCTAGAATTACAACTGTGACAGAAGATTCAGTTTAAAAAATCTTTAAAAAAGTTTTTGTTAATGATTTGTGGTTATGTAATTCATCTGTTGAGAAACTATATTACTCTGCTAGAATCTATCTTATCATTTATTACGTATTAACATAAAAATAAAAAAACTTACAAATCTGAAGAAAATTGTAGTTAACCATTGTGCAACAATTGTAATGACAATGTAATACCAAAAAATAACAAAAATAGAAGCCAGACAGTTATAAAAAGAATAATAGTTGATCATCATTTGCTATATAGCAAATCTTATTATACATAACAATTTAATTAGGCAAATATTCATGATTTATTCTTTTTTTTTTTTGAAAAAACCATATTGTTATATATAGTATGGTTAAAATCCATTTATTACATAGTCACGATCATGTTAATAACATTCATAACAATTTTATAACTTATAAATTGGTTAATGATTTTATTCAATTGTTTTGTATTATATAAAAATGCACTTTCAAAGCATATTTATTATAAAGAAATGGTCTTATGTAAATTGAACCAATTTGAATTCCATTTTTTGATCTTGAAAAGAAGTCAAAAAGCTATAAATTTTATAACAATTTTTGCTGCGTATTAACCAACTTATTTGGTAAAAAAGTTTAAATTAAAACCAAATTATTTATATTATACTATGTGCTGTATAATTAAATTTTTTAGTATGTTTATTACCATATTGAAATATGCGTTATATAATTTTTTGTTTTATATAATTTTTAAGATTTTTTGAATTATGCAGTTTGATTGTTTGGAACTATGATTACTAGTTGTAAAGATAAAAAATTTTTTTATTATAGTAAAATAAAATCCGGGTTGGCGGGTTGTTTAAAATTATATAAGATATGTAAACCAGAAAATTTACTTTGCTTCGCCTTATTAACAAATCAAGTAATTTTTTTTATTGGTTATTTTTGAGGATAGTATTTAACAAAATTACTTAAGCATTACTAGCCAGAGATGTCAAAAACCCTTGCTTAATATTATTTATCAAAATTTCTAGTTTTGGATTTAAACGGTCTTCCATTAGGTGGTTAGTTTATCAACAGATTAATTTTACTATCTATAGTATATATATGTGACTGTAAAAATAAATTAAATTTGATAAATACACAATTCTAACCTTCTATTACACGTCTTATTTGATCATTAAAGCAGAGTGTTTCATTACTAAGTTAAAAATAATAACATATAATGTAATAAATGTGTTACTGAAAAATCATGTATTTCATCAGATTTCGTTTCTGGTTAGTGAATCTATTTACAGACCATCACTCATATAAAATGCTTTTATCTATCGCTATCGGCAAGATTATGCATAATGTATAAATAACTTACGTACAAACATTACAAACAAGAATAATTACGTATTACTATTTGACAGAATATAGCAAGTGCTTCATGATAGTAAATAATCTGATAAGAGATAAAAGATAAAGGGAGATTAGATATGAATAGTGCATAAATATGGCATATCTGATTCTATTGTGTAACTTTGGCATGAAGTGATAAAAATATTCAATATAATTTATATGCAAATATTATTAACACAAAAACTGTGTCTACATCGAACTCCGATGGTCCAAAAGAAAAGAAAGTTCGTTATATATACCCTCGAATTGATTTCACTCAAAGTTTACAGCTAACGCTAATAAATAAATGATATCCATAATTGGCATTCACGTGGTGGAAATATGGTCAGCGAAATTATCTCCCGATCAAGACGGCACGATATCGTAGCACAAGGGTTTTCTCGGAGATATGCCTTATTAAGTATCCAATTTAAACTGCGATAAATCATGTGGAATTGAGGACAGACCTTTATAAATATGAGTTGTCGTTAGTTTTTTCACCCAAATTTTTTTAAAAACATGTCTTCCAATAATTTGCTGTTAAACTTTTCTAACAAGATCGGAAAATTGCTTGAAGATCCGGATTATGAATTTAATACAATCATTCGAACTGGAAATGATTCGAATCCAAAATGTTTTAAAGCACATTCCTTTATTTTAAGAGCGATGTCCCCATACTTTCGTGCTGCTTTGTCAAGCAAGCATGTAATGAAGGAAGGGGATTGGACTTATTTGGAGCAACCAAATTTTTCTCCTTCTGCATTTGATGTTATCTTAAAGTAAGCTTTTCAAGGAGAAAATTTGATTTGCATTGCTAATCTTGAACACCGTGTTAACACTTATTAACATTTTATATTCTACATTTTTATTCTAGGTTCATGTATACCGGCACTATATCTATGGAAAAAAGAGACAACGCAGAAATTGCTGACCTTCTGGTAACCGCACAAGAACTAGGGCTCCACGAGTTGGTCGACTTTTTAAAGGACCATTTGATTCAAAATCAGGAAAAGATAATACAGAACGAAACAGCAAGCACTAATTCAGTACCGAGTGTAGATCACATGAGCGGTTCCGCTGAGCTGCGCTCTACAAAAAGACGAGGTCGAATTCGACTCGTTGGAGCTGGGCCTGGTGATCCGAATTTATTGACACGTGCCGCATTTCAAGCCATACACGAGGCTGATATAATATTATCTGATAAACTTGTACCCGAGGAAGTACTAAAATTGATCCCATCACAGACTGAAATATTAATATCGCCGAAGAAGTTTTGTGCAGATGCTAATGCGGCTCAGGAAGAACTTAATCGCTTGGGTCTTAATGCATTAAATCAAGGCAAAAATGTTGTTAGACTAAAACAGGGTGGTTAGTATCTTTGCTACATTTCTTTTATTATTATTATTATTATTATTATTATTATTATTATTATTATTATTATTATTATTATTATTATTATTATTATTATTTATTAATTATTCTATATTTTTAGATCCATTTTTATTTGGCCGTGGTGGTGAAGAATTTCTTTTTTACCGTTCTCACGGCTATACGCCACAAGTCATCCCTGGAATTTCGTCTTGTATGTCCGCTCCCTTGTTAGCCAATATCCCTGTAACACACAGAGGAGTAGCGTCACAATTTTTAGTTTGTACAGGAACGGGAAAGCAGAACACCTTACCTGATATCCCACCTTATCATCCTTCTCGCACAACAGTATTTCTGATGGCATGTCACAGAATTAAACAAATAACGCATGTCTTAATAAATGATGAAAAATATCCGCCAGAATGTCCTTGTGTTGTTATCGAACGAGCCAGTTGTAAAGATCAAAATATTATACGAGGAACAGTTGGAACAATTGCTGAAATTTTAGAGCAAGTTGGGCATAAACCGCCAGGGACGCTGGTTGTTGGTTGGTCCTGTTTGACTTTGTTATGATATTGAAAAATGAATATAGAAGATACTATATATATAATTTTGAGAATAAGACTTTATTATTTAAAAATTCTATTTTACAAATCAAATTAATAAAAAAAATCGAATTTTTTTTGTAATGTAAGGACCACAATTATGAAAATAGTCAAGAAATATTTTCTTTATTACAGTATTTTTTTTGTTAAACCATTGACAACGTAAATCTATCAAGACCAGGTGCTGCCGAGGAAAATTTTGATAATTCCTTTTCATTGTGAGTAGATGCATATGCTTTCATACGAGCTTCAAGCTCTGGCCTGAAATGACGAACCAATCCTTGAACTGGCCATGCAGCTGCGTCACCTAATGCTGTAAAATATCAGTAATTGTTAGTGAATTATCATTTAAACCATTTAAAACACGATAGTTAGGGTTGCTAATGGAGTACTCCAGATTATAATAAAACATAAGGTAAATGTGGGTATTATGACGAAGTCAACAGTTTTAATTAATAAAAGTTTCTGAAAAATCTTTATATCCTTAACTTTAATGCAGTTCTAGATCCTCTTTACTTTATATAAAAAAAAAACACGGTACTTTATTTAAATTGCGTGACTTTATTTTATGAAGGTAAAATGACGAACGTATGTACCGTGACGATCTTTATAACATATAATACGTTTCAATTATCTTCAGCGATTTTTCTTTAGTTAAGAATCGTTTTTTTCAAGAAAACAGAATTCTTTTCCCAAGTAAATTAACTTTACTTACTAAGTAAGGTTGTTCAACATACCATCTCTTACCTACCCTCAAATTTTAGTGAAATTCGAATGACCTTTTCTAAAGGTTTTTTCATTATACGTTTTGATGCAGTAAATTGATTTTTTGTGTTGGAACGTATAACGAAAAAACTTATTAATAAAGGTTTTTCGAATTGCACCAAAATTTGAAGGTAAGTAAAAGATGGTATATTAATCAAGTTTACTTAGTAAGTAAAGTTAGTTTTACTTGGAAAAAATTCTGTTCCCTTGTAATATATTCAATTCGCCAAAATATCTGCATTCATCATAATACCTGCATTTACCCATAACCTGCTTCTGGAGTGCTCCGGAGTGGGTTATATGTTTTATTATTGACTGGAGCAGTCCATTAACAACCCTAACGATAATAAGTAGCTTAAATTATACTTAGCGTACCGCAGATGGTATGACCTTCAATTTGTTTTGTTAGTTCTTCGACCATATCAATCTCTCTTGGAACTGCATAGCCCTTTTGGAAACGCGACATCATACCCATAAGCCATTTCGTGCCCTCTCTGCACGGTGTGCACTGTCCACAGCTTTCATGTTTATAAAAATCAGATAAACGGGAAATTGCTTGTACAATATCAGTAGATTTGTCCATCACAATTACTGCTGCTGTGCCCAGGCCAGATTTAACATCACGAAGCGCATCAAAGTCCATTCTGTCACAAACATAAATATAGTTTTTAGATAAGAGAGTTTGCTAATAGTAACATCTATTAATAAAAATAATGTTATGGCTTACAACACATCTTCACATATGTGTTTAGGAATAACTGGAACGGATGAACCACCGGGTATGATAGCTAGAAGGTTATCCCACCCACCGCGAACTCCACCACAATGACGTTCAATAAGTTCTCTCAATGGAATACTCATTTCCTCTAGTGTTAAAGTAACATTATAAACAAATTGTAGAAATTGGCTGAGGAGATAGTAAGTGCTCACCTTCGACTGAACAGGGATTATTTACGTGACCAGAAATACAAAAGAGCTTTGTACCACTATTCTTTTCACGACCAAAACTAGCAAACCATGACCCACCTCTATACTTAACAATTATTTGTAAATAATTGCGACTAAATTAAATAAGTCAACGCATAATCCAACGAATACTATTACCTTCTACAAATAGTAGGTGCAACAGCCACAGTTTCAACGTTAGCCACGGTGGTCGGACAACCAAATAAACCAACATCAGCTGGAAATGGAGGTTTTAATCTTGGTTTACCTTGTTTACCCTCTAGTGATTCTATCAAGGCCGTTTCTTCACCACAAATATAAGCACCAGCACCACGATGAATATATATATCGAAATCATATCCAGAACCACATGCATTCTTTCCAATAAGTCCAGCTAAGCAAAGATTAAAATTAAAATTGAGTTAAAAATTATGGCACTATCATTCAAACTAGAGGTTGGAATCGAATATTCATTTTGTTGAATATTCAAATTAATTCGCTTTAAAATGAATTTGAATAAATTATGTGAATTGTATAAATATGCAAAAAGATGTAAGATTATGCAAGATCATGTGTACTAATGCATGTATATGCGTGCATACCATGCATCATCTCACTTATTTTCGTAATTTTTGCATAATCCTGCATAATTCTACATATTTACACATATGTATATTTATGCGAATCCATACCAATTCACATAATTTATTCGAATTAATTCAAATTTAGTTTTAAATAATTCGAATTTAAAAAATTAAACCCAAACCAAGGTTGCAATTTTACTATTCATTAATAAAAGTAATTATAATAAGCAGCAATCAATGGACACATATCTACTGAGATCCATTTAGATTTCCGTTGGTATCCATTGAGACTAAATTGCTCTGATTCTAAAAATGTATCAATATTGTATTAATACAAACCTGAATAAGCTTCATTAATCGCTTCCTGTAAATTCGAGGCTTCATTATAAAATTCGCCTCTAATATATATATAAGCTAAATGAAAAAATATATTTGAGAAACCGAGTCAATTGATTAGTTTTGACAAGTCGAATCTTAAAATTATACCAGCATTGGCGTTCATCGCTCGACCAGCAACCAAACATCCTTCAACTAGTTTGTGAGGGTCTCCACGCATGATCTCTCGATCTTTACATGTGCCTGGTTCTCCTTCATCAGCATTCACAACTAGATACTTAGGACTATTTCATAAATTAATTTAATTTACAACCATCTTATTTATTAAAAATAAAATAAAAAAAGGTATATACCGGCCATCTGATGGCTTGTTCATAAAACTCCATTTCAAGCCTGATGGAAATCCAGCTCCACCACGACCTCTAAGACCAGACGTTTTAATCTCTTGTAAAATCCATTCATGTCCTTTTAAGATAATTTCTTTAGTTTTATACCAATCACCTCTCTTTAGCGCACCCTTTAGCCGAAAATCGTGGCGTGAATATAGGTTCGTAAAAATACGATCTTCGTCCTTAAGATTACCGTATGTACGACCAGCTGTTGGATTTTGAACTGTAGCAAAACTTGCTATTCCTTTAAAAACCGGACGAAGACGTATTGCTTGAAATGCTTTGAGTAAAAGAGTATTCGACAATGTGTTTAGTGGATTAGTGTATTTGTCACATAAGTAATAACAGTTGTGTTGTTGGTTTACCTACTTTGGTTCAAGAGATATTTTTTCAACATCTTTAAATCGATTTGAAATTATGGTGTTGGTAGTAAAACGATCTACAAATTTTTTTTTAAATATAGAGTTTCTATTTGTACACAGACCCACGTGATTATAATCCAATAGCGAGTCTCGTTTTAATGTAACGTTACACGATCGGTAAGATCAAAACAAAACGTTCTTTTTTCAAAAATCGCTTATTGCATAAGAAACCACCTTTTTCGCTCTAACAAAAAAAATTCCTCGAGTGATTTTACTACTACTTTCTAAAACCTAGCCCTATTATAAACGCTAACCCTAACTTAAACGAATTTAAAAATTTTTAAGCGAAGTCACGTGAAAGTGAAAATTTTAACGGCGATACTGGGTAATTTTCTCCAGGATCGTCAAAAAAAATTTGCTGTCACGCCAATCAAATCGCACCATTAAAATCGTTTTTATACAGTAATACAATACTTTACAGCTAGTCGCACGTGCATTTTTGGTGTTCAATTTAAGTAGTTTGTTTATACATCATTATACGTATATTAGATATCATACTTGCAAGCTAATTACAAGTCTTGTTTATTTAAATCTTCTGCATATACAATCCAACTTGTATTACAGAAACATCTTTAGAGCACAGTTTATTCAAGTTCTCAATCTTTATTGGTATCTTTAGGATTATTTTATTCTTGACAGAAAACTTATTAAAGTCTGTTATGTTCTATATATAGCTAACCTTTGAAAGATTTAGATTTAGTATTAAAAGAGTTTTTTTTTAGAATTTGTATTTTTTTTTTTTTTTTTTTAACTATTCTAGGTGAAGCATCATGGGGCGCATGTGGCGCTTTTGTATTTTTTTTGAAATATAATTTCTAATAAAAAAGTTTAAAGAGTTAAAAGATGTGTCTAAATTTTCTTATTTTACAAAAATGTATTAACATTATATTTTATAGATTGCAGTAATATGTAACCAGGTCAAAGCTATTAAAGCTTAAGGACAAGTATTATTAGAAGTTTGAAAGATACCATCTAGAGAAGATGGTATAGATATTTTTTCATTAATGTTAAAAAAACTGTAAGTTTTTTTTCAGATTATTATATTTTGAGAGCATTCTAAAGCAATGTGTTTTATAGTTTGTATTTTATCTAAACACCAGATATAGTTTATTGTCTTTTATAATTCAATGTATCTTAATTAATAGTCTAATAACCGTTAATATTTTTTTTAAAAAAAAAAAAAAATTAATAGTCTAATAGAAGTGTTCTGTGAAAAAGATATCAAAAAATATCTTTTTTCTTGTTACAAACAGACTTCAAAAAGAGTCAAGTATGTTGTAATATTTGCAAAGAAGTTTGTAATATAATTAATAAAAAAAAAATTCTTTTAAGAGTTTTAAAGTTTTTTTAACTAAAAGTTTATTTTTTTTTATTTTTTCGATTCTAATTTTATTACTATTCTAGAGTCAATTGAAAGTATGAGAAATCTTGCTTTTAATTCTTATCTAGGTTTTTAAATAAAGTTTTTATTCTAAAAGCTAGGCTTTTATACTTGTATTGTCAGAATTTAGTATCTGAATTGAAAAA